TGAATCTGAAGTTACACTTGGTGCATCACGTTTCTCTCTCATGTGGCGTTTCACCAAGTGTCGAACAAGGTACGATTTGAGAGCGAAGCTTTGCCCACATGCGGTACATGTGTGAGGTCTCTCTTGCTGGTGCGTCATCTGATGCTGGGACAGGCTGTACTTCTGGCTAAAGCTTTTCCCACACTGGGCACATGTATAGGGTCTCTCTCCAGTGTGGATCTCAGGTGCCTAGTCAGGGTGGATTTCTGCCCCAAACTTTGCCCACATTCCCTGCACTGATGAGGTTTTTCCCCCGTGTGGGATCGCTGGTGGTGGAGGAGCGCCGAGTTCCACCTGAAGCTCTTCCCGCAGTCGGGGCATTTACAGGGTTTCTGTCCCATGGGGGTTCCCTGAGGCTGGGGCTCACCACACCCAGCAGGTCTCTCCTCCCCTGGGGGGTCTCCCTGCAGCCATGTTGCCCCACAGGCGTCTCCCTGCTCGGGGCTCTGGGACATCCCAGGTGGCTCAGCTCCCACAGGTCCTTCCCATTGGGGATTCCCGTCTGATTCATTCACACAATCATTCACTCAAGTTCTGTTTAGGTATTATAGTTACCAGCCTAGAAGTTGCTCATGCCAAGTTACTGGCCAGGTATCTTGGTCATGAGGATGGAGCCGAGTCTGTGTCAGGTGCACCTGATGCTCCTGGCAGCAGAACCAGAGACTCAAAGTCATCAGTCTTTAGAGTCCATTCGTATAGGAATTAGTTCCTATGTTAGTCTATGGGAGCTGTTTCATCCTGCTGTTGCTGACGCAATCAGCAGATGGCACATTCCTGTCCAAAGTGGCACATTCCTGGTGGCTCCACACTGTCCAAAGTTTGTGTCTCTCATCCTTCCAGGTGATGGGCTGGATCCCAGTTTACCCTCAGGGGATTGTCTGGTGGTCCTACTTGACACATTCTTCGGCCGATGGATACTCCCTTTCTAGGCTGGCACCTCCCTAACCATCCATCAGCATACATTCCATATCTTAACCATATTTTAATTTACTGTCTCCACCACTTTCAGGGTGTGTGCTAATTCATTTGAGACTCCCGGCCCTTTAATCACAGAGGGTGGGGGTCTGTCCTAGGAGCCCTTGAATGAAGTGGGGAAAAAAAAAAAAAAAATCACTTAACTGCTTAGTGTTTGTTTACATTGTATCAATTACTTCAAGAACAAAGTCAATTAATTTGTTTGTAAGTTTTACATAGTAATAAAGTATCTTTCACAGGATAGATACAATCAATGGTTTCTACAGACAGTAGCTTACAAGTTTTAACAGAAGACCCAAGAGATTTTTGTACTTGGTGAAACTGTTGGATTTTAAAGTGTGGGGGGCAAATTATGAGGGGGTCACTGTCACTTGGGGGAAATCACTGTTAGTACCTTCTTTAATATCCCTACAGCCTCAGATATGCTCATTCTGACAGGTCCTGCTAAGCTTCCAAACATGCAAAAAACAGAGGCACAGGTAAGCAGCACAGCGATTGCAACAGTTTAGCTCCCAGGAGGTTTGCACAGCAAAGTTGAATACAACTCTAAAGAAATGGGAGAGTACAGTTCACGGATATACAGCATATCCTATTCCTTATCTGCTGTGCACAACCACCTTAGACAATCATACTGCAGTAGTAAAGCAAGTCACATTTTGTTAATCCATCTGTTTGCGAGCTGATTCCACACTCCGCACCAGGATTCCACTCCTTGTATGGAAATTGCCTCTCTAGCACTAGTACGGGAGTTTTGCAAGCCGCGGTCTCTCCCGTCACATAGGGCCTAGGCGCTGCTTCAGTTGGTGACCAAGAGCTGCAACCCTAGCCAGACCCACTCCTTCCCCGCCAGCCTTCAAACCATCGGATGGGAACTCCTGACCCGGAGACGTAGAGGAGAAAGGCCTCTCGTTCCATTCCCCACCCCCATGAGCCACCCCGTCTCCCCTTCTAGGGGGTGGATCGGAGCCAGCGCCTCTTAGAGGGGAAAGGCCCCATGGCCCATTCTCCACTTCCTGTGGAAGCCAGTCCTGGGGCCAGATTAGAGCCAGCACCTCCCCATCCCAAGGTGAAAGGTCCCGTATCCCATTCCCTGACCCCCTTCAGCCAACCAGTCCCCCCCTGCCTCATGGGTGGATTGGAGCTGGCGCCCCCTAGAGGGGAAAGGCCCCATGTCCCACTCCCTAATGATTTCACATCCGTAAATTACCTCCTGCTGTGGCCATATTCCGGGCTCTTCCTTGGCTAACTGGAAACCCTCCGCCAGAGCCACGGCCTGCTCCCTGGTCTGGGGGTGACACCCCCCTACCCAGCTCTGGATCTCCTGGGGCAGGATGCTCAGGAACTGCTCCAGCACCAGCAGCTCCAGCATCTGCTCCTTGGAGCGCTGCTCCGGCCTCAGCCACGCCCGGGAGAGGAGGCAGAGGTGGTCATACGCCTCCCGGGGCCCCTCAGCCTCCTGGTAGTGGAACGCCCTGAAGCGCAGACGATGCATCTCCATATCGACGGGTCTGTGGGCATCCGGCTCCTCCACTTCCTCTTTGGGAACCAGGCCACATCCCGGTGGGGGCTGGAACTGGAGCCTGAGAGCGGCTGGGGGAGCCCCCTGGGCAGCCATGGCCCGTCTCTGAGCCGGAGCACAGCCGTATCTCCCTGGGGATCGCCTGGCATCAGCAATGGACCCCCTGCAGCACCATCTGTATGGGGGGAGCACGTCCAAGGGGGGGATGAGATCAGCCCAGGGGATGATCACCTTTGTGGAGAGGGGAGAGAAATTAGAGCCACAGAAGGAATGTGACACACAGGAACAGCCTCTCCCAGCCACCCCCCAGCTCCAGTGTTGTGGGGAGAGAGACACAGACCCAGCACAGGTGACCCCAAGGTTGGTGGTTCTGAATCTATCAATCACCTACGTACTTCTGCACACCTGGGTCTCCTCCTGGCCATGTGAAGTGAAAATAATCGTTAGGATTTGTAGCCCGATCTACAGATTATATATTACTTAAGAATCCCCAATTATCACTTTGAGGGTTGACAGGTTCTTGCCCCCAAGATCAGGCCCTGTATTATTTAAATTATTATATAATTGGGAACCCCAATGTGCACAGTTGCAACACTCACACTATAGGAACTCTTCTATCTTTATAAATATAGTTTTTGAATACATTTAGCACAGTCACAAACACCCCAACTCAGTAAGGTAGGTAGAGATACTACAGAATTTACCTCTCCATGGCCATATACTCTCACTATTCCTTGCAGAACAACTGGAAATGTTAGCCATCATCTTCCTCATTACTATTGAGACAGGGTTAGGCCACATGGCTACAGGAGAGTGATCCTATTGGGATCCAGGAAGTGGGCGGGCGAAGCCCACTGCTAAAGGATCCCCCCCAGCCTAAGGGGGGGTCCACAGGACCTGGAGACCAAAAAATTACGGGGGACAACTAATAAAAGAACAGGGACAGGAGTGAGGTCAAAGGGTCAAACGAAGCGAACCAGACGGGGACACCGAGCAGAGAACCTCGGACAGCGCCCACTGCTCCTCGAAGGCGTCCAGGGAGCCAGTGAATGCCGCCCAGAGGAACTCTGCCTGGATACGTGAACGAACGGAGGACCTGAAATAGGCCCCACAGTCACAGGGGACTCCATCGGCCAACCTCCTCACTCTGGTTTTATAGATGGCCAGTTTCGCTAGGGCCAAGAGGAGGTTGACCATGAGGTCCCGTGACTTTGTGGGGAGACGGATAGGGAGTGCATAAATAAAAAGGTGAGGAGAAAAGTGCAAATTCTTAACAAAATATCCGTGAGGAGCCGGAATAGGGGCTGCAGCCTGGCGCACTCCAGGTAAACATGCACCAGGGTCTCCCTCACGCCGCAGAAGGGGCAGGTGTCTGGGATAGGGGTAAACCGCGCCAAGTACACGCCCGTGCTCACGGCTCCGTGAAGGAGCCGCCAACTGATGTCCCCGGTGGGCTTCAGGATCAGAGTAGAATAAAGGCTGGCCCACTGGGGCTCCTCACCCTTCAGAGGTGGCAGAAGGTCTCGCCACTTCGTATTGGGGCGGGACGTGATGGTGAGGACATGAAGAACATGGAGCACGAGCGTGCATAGATGTTTTCTCGGCGCGGTCTGGAACAGAACCAGCTGCAGATCGTGCAGCTGGCTCATGGCGAAGGGATGGGGAGGGGGCTGGTTGGGTCCACGGGGCAGGGGCCCGATGAAAAAAGTCCGGAGGGCTCGGAGTGGAGGGTGGGCGGGGCGTGCCCTCTTGCAGGACCCGGTCAAGATAGTCCCGTGCAGCAGGCGGCAAAGTGGCCCTCACCTCCTGAAGTACGCACCGGGGAGTACAAGGTCTGGAGAGCCCCATGCGCCGAGTGTCAGGGGATCCAGCCAGTCTCCCCGGTCGTAGTCCAGGAGGTCTCTGACTCTGGTGACTTCTGCCAGGACAAACCTCTGGCGCAACATGGGGGACTCCGCCACCTGCACACGGAGCTGGGGGTTGTGTAGCAGGGGCTCCGCGAGGAGATTTGCCCCCACGGTGGCCGCCACGGACCTGGTCACTGAGAACAGTTTCCAGGTCCGGAGGAGGTCCTGGTAGAAGACCGGCAGCCCGGAGAGGTCTCGCGGAAGACCTCTCGGATGGAGACAAAGGAGCCGCCAGTCATATCGGAGCCCTCGGAAGCGGCGCAGGAAGGCGTGCGCCAATACGCTCCACGCCGGACTACCTGCACCATAAAGGAGCCTCTGCAGGGCCTGGAGGCGGAAGACGTGGACCTGAGCGTGCAGACACTTCAGGCCCTGCCCTCCCTCCTCCAGGGGTAGATGGAGAACCCCCGCAGAGACCCAGTGCAGTCCTGACCAAAAGAACTCCAGAATCAACGTCCGGAGGTTGGCCAGGAAACCCAGGGCCGGGACCGGGGTGTTGAGCCGGTACCAAAGCATGGACAGGACTAGTTGATGGAGGCACCAGTGCTCTCCCTCGAAGGGAGAGACACCGGAGCAATCCCGTCCATTTCTGGAGCCGCTCCGACACCCTGCCCTCTAAACCTAGCCAGTTCTCTGGTGGAGACAGATGCGTGGCAGAAAGGTAAACGCTGAGATACAGCAGAGGACCCGCGCTCCACCGGAAGGCCTGAAGCACGGGTGGGAGGGAGCTCGCCTGCCACCAGTCCCCTACCACCAGGCCAGAGCTCTTGACCCAGTTGACCCGGGCGGAGGAGGCTGCCGAATAGATGGTTTGGCAAGCCTCCACCCGCATCAACTCGCCTGGGTCCTGGACCATGAGAAGCACATCGTCGGCATATGCCGACAGGACCAGCCGCAGCTCCGGTTCCCGCAGCACCAACCCCGTCAACCTCCTACGGAGGAGACAGAGGAAGGGCTCGATCGCCAGAGCGTACAGCTGGCCCGAGAGGGGGCACCCTTGACGTACTCCTCGCCCGAAGCTGACCGGTTCGGTCAGGGTCCAGTTGAGTCTGACCAAACACTCTGCGAAGGCGTACAGCACCTGGAGAAAACCCACAAACGGGCCCGAAGCCAAATGCTCGCAGAGTGCCCAGGAGATACTTGTGGTGCACCCTGTCGAAAGCCTTCTCCTGATCCAGGGACAGGAGGGCGAACGACAGACCATCCCTACACCCGAGTTCCAAGAGGTCCCGGACCAGATACAAGTTGTCGAAGATGGTGCAGCCCGGGACGGTGTAGGTCTGGTCTGGGTGGATCACGTCCACCAGCACAGACCCTAGCCGCAGCGAGATGGCCTTTGCTACACTTGATAGTCTGTGCTGAGGAGCGAGATGGGATGCCAATTCTGTAAATCGCGGAGGTCTCCCTTCTTTGGCAATAAGGCAAGCACAGCTCGCCTGCACGAAAGAGGGAGGACCCAGCCCTGCAAGGACTCGGCCCAGACGGTGACAAGGTCTGGGCCGAGGACGTCCCAAAACATGCGGTAGAACTCCACGGTCAGCCCGTCCATGGCCGGAGATTTATTGGTGGGCATGCGGCGGAGGGCTTCCGAGAACTCGGCCAGAGTGAGAGGCAGCTCCAGCCGGTCTCGGTCGCCCGCGCTGACAGTCAGGAGTTCATCCCAGAGCATTCTGCAAGTGTTAGGATCGCTCAGATCCGGGGAGAAAAGGCCTGCATAGAAGGCCCTGGCCCTCCCGCACATCTCCGCCGGATCCGTTAGGGGGGTGCCGTCCTCGGCTAGAAGGCAGGTGACGTGCTTCTTGGCCCCCCTCTTTTTCTCCAGGGCGTAGAAGAATCGGGAGCCGCGATCCATCTCCCGAAGGAGGCGGATGCGGGATCGAACAAAGGCACCTCAGGCCCGATGGTCCTCGAGGGTCCGGAGCTCCTCCCGCTTCTCCTGGCACACTCCGCAGAGGGATGGATCACCAGGGCTGGTGGCCAGACGCCTCTCCAGCTCTAAGACCTCCCGTTCCAACTGCCCTATCGCTGCATCCCTCCGTTGGCTGGCGCCCTGGGTGTAGTCAAGGCAGAAGAGCTGGGCGCGCGCACCTTCCCCAGGTCCCACCACCGCCGCGCCGAGGGAAAGGCACGCCGCTGCCCTCGCCAGGCCAGACAGAACTCCCGGAAGGACGCCACGAAGCCCACATCCTCCAACAAGCTATTATTAAAGTGCTAATAGGCCGGCCCCGGCCTCTCCGCGCAGAGAGAGACTGTCACGGTGGCTAGATGGTGATCTGAAAAAGGGGCCAGCTGGATGCTGGAGGAGTGGGCCCGTGAAAGATGGAAGCGTTACAAATAGATGCGGTCCAACCGGGAGTGGCGCGACCGATGGACCTCCACCCGGACAAAAGTGAATGTCGAAACGTCATCCGGGTGGCGGTTACGCCAGACGTCCACCAGGGAGTGACATTCGACTATCTCCCGGAGGACGTCCGCGGAGGCCGGGAACTGCTCGGTCCCCGAGCGGTCCCGTTCCTTGAGGGTGGTGTTAAAGTCCCCGCCCAGGACCAGGCACTCGCGAGGATCCAAAGTGCCAAGGAAGGCGGACGCCTGCTGATAAAAACGCAACCTCTCCAGGCCTGATGTCGGGGCATAAACGTTGATGAGATTGACCACAAGCCCCTCCATGCGGACCCGGAGGTGCAGCAGGTGGCTCAGCACAGCCTCGGCGACCCCCAGAACCTCGGGCCATAGGTCGGGGGAGAACAGGGTCGCCACTCCAGCCGTACGAACTGTGAGGTGGCTAAAGTAGACCCTGTCCCCCCACTCCAGCCGCCAGCTAGCTTCAGCGGCCGGATCCATATGGGTCTCCTGCAGGAAAATCACAGAGTACCCCCCTCCCGAAGGAAGGAGAGCACCTGGCTCCTGCAGAGACCCATCCTACAGCCCCAGGTGTTCAATGTTGCGAAGATGATCGGTGCCATGAGGAGGGCTGGGGGGGGATCCTCGCCGGCAGAGACACCCACGGCCTCCGTCGGACCGTGCAACTATCCGTGACCTACCCCGTAGGCAATTAAGGAGTCACGGAAGAGGCGGACCTGTTGGTAGGCCGCGGCGGCCTGCCTCCCAGTCCTCTTACCCTCCCCCATGAGAGCCCTCGTGGCCTGGAGGATCTGATAGAAATCCCCCCAGCGCTGGAGTGCAAGCTGTATCTTGTTGCTAGAGCCACGGACGTCCTCAAGGAACTCCCGTAGCTCCTCTCTCAGCGTAAGGGGGGGTGGGGTTACCAATCTATGGCTTTCCCCCAGTGGGGCCCCCTGTCACAGCCCCATGGCCCACTGAGACGGGCAAGCAGGGGGCAGACTCTCCACATGGCGTCAGATGGGCTGGCGCCACATGGTCTGCCCCATTCCCCGGTTCAACAGGGGGCGGCGGAGGGAAAATAGCAGCCCCACGTGGGTCGGGACAGGGAAAAACAAAGGCTGCTTCTTGGGGGTCATCCTCTGGGATATGGAAGGAGACAGCCCCAGGGGTGGCAAAAGCATCACGGGAAGTGGAGGGGACAGGGACGGGGTTGGTGTCAGGGGCAGTGTCGGAGTCAGGAATAGGGACAGGGGAAGGGGCGATAGTGGGATCGGGGGCCCCAGCAGCCAGGCCACTGGGTGGGGGGGGTGACACCCCGCAAATGGGCTCAGGGATTTGCGGGGAGGGAGGTGGGCCCTCGGCGATGCCGGGCTCATGCTCCAAGCAGATGGAAAGCCACGGCATCCGTAGGTGGAGAATCAACGATGGGGCCCCCACCCGGGAAGGAGGTCGGCTGCTCTGCAGCCATGAGGGAGTCCCCTGGCGACTTGGGTCTTGGCCGCATGACACTGGCCGTTGCCTCAAGAGGCTCGGCGGCCGCTAGCGGGGTGCCATCTGCGGCCGGGTTGGTGGAAGAGTCCAGGGGCTCCTCGGAGGCGGGAGTGGAAGCAGTAGGTAGGGGAACGGAAGATGGGGAAAGGGGGGCTGAGGCGAGGTCGCTCAGATCGAGGCCCACTGGCAGAGGGTCGTCCTCCCCCTGGGTAACCAGGGTCAGACCCAGGGCCTTGATCTCCTCATAAATGGAGGGGAGATCGCCATCCATCACCCCAGGGCTCTCCCTGCCAGCACCCAAAGCGACGCTCGCCTTGGTGCTTGCAGGGGCTTCAGATTGTAAGGGGGCAAGAGGGGCCCCATCAGGGGCTTCCATAGGAAGGGACTCCGGAGGAGGGGCGATGTTACCTTCCGCTGCTGCCACGGCCTCCCCAGCCGGCACCATTGAATGGGAATCGGCAGGGGGCAAAGTGGAAGGCTCAGCATCGGTGCCCCCATTCCTGGTCTTCCGGGGGGGCTACCGCATCAGATGGGAGGAGCGGAGCTCGAGCCTTCTGCTTGCCCCGCTTCCCCTGTACTAAGGACCAACCCTCCATGGCATCATCCGGGGGCTGGCTAACAGGTGTTGGGTCAGGGAGCAAGGGCGAAGGCTCAGGGACTCGGGGAGGCAATGGTGGGGCAGCATGTAGGAGGGAGGATTCTCTCTGGGGCATGCCCTCTTCTATGCCCGGCGAAATCCCTACCTCACCCTCCTCCACAGGCCCCGCCAGATTGCAGGCAGCAGAGGCAGGGCCCTCCCACTCATCTGGGCGCACTGGGGGAGATACCCCTTGGGCCTGAGCGGGAGCATTGGTGGGCCGGAAAGGAGGAAGGGTGGCTTCGGGTGCCGGGCAGCCAGGGGTGCCGGCGATGACGGGGCCGGTGCCCTGCCAGGGCTCGGGGGTCCCGGATGCCCCTCCTTGCCGGGCCAAGGGGCAGTCCCTCCGGACGTGTCCTATCGCCCGGCAGAGGTAGCACCGGGCCTCCCCCGTTGAATAATGCACCCGTAACGGGCCCCATGGTAGGGGACCAAGAAGGACCCCTCGAGCACCTCACCGTCACGTGCCGCCGACAGCAGTTGTAACTGTACCTGCTGGCGGAACGAGAGGACGTGACGGAGGGCGGGGTCTTTGCAGCCCAGTGGGAGAGGGCTGACCACAGAGATCGGCCTCCCCAGCGTAGAAAGGGTGGGCAACAGGGCGGCATTAGGAGGGAAGGGAGGGATAGAAGTCAGGACCAGTCGGGTGCCCAGGTCTTCTAGCGGCTCCAGGGGGACATACACGCCCCCCACCACCAGGCCCTTCTCCACTGCCTCCTGGGCGGCGGCCTCCGATGCTAGAACAAAGATGATCTTTCTGTACATCTTGGAGGACGCCACAATGGCCGTGGGCCCCACCACCCTTGCCAACGCCCACACGTAGGTCTCCACGTGGGGCAAGGCAGGTACCAGGAGGCAACGGACGCCGTGCTTCCTGGTCAAGGTGGGGAAGAGGCTCCAGCTGCTATAGATGGTAGCAGAGGCGGTGGATGTGGGAGATGACATAGTAGCAGGTGGGGGGCCACCGCCACCTGGGCATATGCCCTGGGGGCCGGGGGAGGGACACCCACAGAGCTGGTGGAAAGAACAGCAGGGAGGGATGCCACAACTGGTTGCAGGGCCGCGGCAGTGGGGGCACCCCCTGCCATGGAGGGCCTTGCTTTTTTAGTGGGGCCTTTACCCTTCTTTGTGCCCTGGCCCTTCCTGCCAGCTGGGGGGGCTCCCCCAGAGTCAGAGGGGGTGAGGGACGTGACAGCAGCGGAGGTCACCTCGTTACCCACCGCTGCCAGCGCTCCAGCAGGGGTGGTAGCAAGTGGATCGGCAGCAGCGGTTGAGGTAGAGGCTGGGGGGGGACAGATGGTGGGGTGGATGGAGGAGGGGCAGCAGGGTCTGCCCGAGGGGTCCTACTCGCCTCGTTCCCTGCCATAATGAGGATGGGGGGGCGGGAAACAAACAGCGGAGGGGGGGTAGGGAAAGGGGAAGCAGGTCGACCACTCCTCCCCGCTAGGCTGCAGGCAGGGGTGGAGGATGCCAAAAAAGGGGTGGGTTGGACGGGGGCGGGACTATCAAGGGGTAGGGGTCAGTCACCGACTCGGGGAAGGTTTCCGGCTCCTCTAGTTGCACCAAGGAAGGGGGGATATATAACAGCATTGGGGGGTGCAGTGAGACAGGTTCAAACTAAAACAGGGAGGGGCACAAGCGCAAGGGAGGGGACATGGGCACACAAGGGGAGGGGCTAATCAGGGCAAGGGGGAACAACCAGGCTGGGAGTGGGGCAGGGGAACCACGGGGCTAGCTTCAGAGGCTGGGGCGGGTCAAACAGACAGAGGCTGCAGAGGGAAAGGGCGGGGCAGGCAAACAAACTGGAGCTAGCAAGGGGCCGGGGCAAGGGCAAAAGGGGCAAATGGGTATGTAACAGAGGCAAAGCTGGGGGCTTGCTGCAGGGGGGAGGGGATTAGCCCAAAAAGGGGGGGCATGTGCACCCACATGCGCTTATAACAAAAAGAAAGTCTTTTTAAATTGGCTGCTACTTCAGGCACAATGGTGGCAACTGGGCATGGCAAGCCTAAGTGAGCAGCTGAGACCCAGAAGCAGGAGCTCGAGGCAGATGGTGAGTAGCCAGTGGGGGTGGTGGAGGGGGCAACAATGATGGTGGGGGGGGGGTCAGAGGGGGACACAGACAGACCAGGGGGCAGGCTCCACACCACACCCCCTGTGTCCCCACAAACACAGTCTAGACCCCCACCACAAGAGCACATTTCAAAAGTTACTCAGTCCGTGAGAATCCCCTCCACGGTGGTCTGTAGAATTCCTACACACTCCTCCACTGGCAGATGGTCCTCTTCTTCCTCTCCTCAGGGCTCCAGCAGCTCCCAGCAGCAAACACAGCAATTTTAGGCAGCAGTCTGGTGGCCAGCAGGAAGGACCCTTCTCAGGTGGAGGTGGTGGTATCCACAGGAGCAATGACTGGGGTCCCTCCCTCCCCTCCTCTGGGGAGTGGGCCAGCAGGTCCCCCCTCAGGGGCTGTAGCTAGAGCAGCAGCAACCAAGGGGGGGGGGCCTTGCAGCCAGCAAGCAGGTAGCAGAGAAGGGAAGAGAGGAATCTGGCCCAACCAGGGGAGTAGCTAGAGCAGCTGTTGTTGTTGTTGGGAGAGCCCAGGGCCCAGTAGCAGGGGGAGCAGCCCCCTACCTACTTTTCTCCAGACTAGAGAACTACAGGTGAGTGATCAATGGGAGATATATTAGCCCCAGATTAAGTAGGTCTCTTTTCCCTGGGTAAGGTAACAAGGAAGGTTCCAGAACAATCAAGAATTTTCTGGAAACAATTAAGGCAGACAGGCTGATTAGAACACCTGCAGCCAATCAAGAAGCTGCTAGAATCAATTAAGGCAGTGTAGTTGTGTGCATCTGTGTAGTTGTGTGTGTGTTTCAGTGTAGGTATGTTGGTTGGTCTGTTTTTGTGTGTGTGTTTTTTGTCTCTTGGTGTAGTGTGTGTGTGTAACAGGGTGCTGCCAAGGAGAAACAAGCCAGGCCCTTGTTAGCACGATTCCAGAGGAAGAAGGGTATTAGTTGGGCGGGCGGAGGGGCCACACCCTAATTACCAGAGTGGATCCAGTTGCAGGCCTGAGTAGCCAGCCTGCCTTATACAGCTGGCTAAGAGCTGGGAAGCAGGGGGAGACAGGAAAGGGAGGAGTGTGGGTGCGAGATCTCTGCTGGCTGGGAAGTTAGTAGTCGCCCAGAGTGTTGATCACTGTAAATAATTGGTGGTGAGAACAGACACAAACAATAAAAGGACATGGGTGTTGTTCTTCAGTTCGTCTTTGACAGCATTTGTGGAGGGGTTGAGAGCAGGCACTGCTACAGTGTGTCTGACTAGTTGTGCGTCTGTCTCAGTGTCGCTTTCTTTCTTTCTGCCGCCTCCTCATAACACACTCTCCTTCCTCTGGTCAGTGTTTGTCTCTTTTCGGTATCTCTTCTCTTTCCTCTGCACCCTCCTCTCCAGGTACTGCCCTTGAACCTCTCACTCCTTGCTCCACACACACCCCTCACCCAGCACAGGATGGACCCCCTGCCTCTGCTCCTCTACCTGTGCGCAGGTAAGTGCCAGCCAGAGGGACTGGAAAAAGCTGGGATCCTCCACATAGGTGCCCAGTGAGTACCCCCTGGCAGGCGGATGGGAACAGCTGGACGGTCAGGAGTCAGGACTCCTGGGTCCTATTCCTGGTTGGCTCTGGGGGGGTCTGGTGGGTTACAGCAGGGGCCTGTGCATCAAGACTCCTAGGTCCCCTCCACAGATTTGGGAAGGGAATGTGGCTGTAGTGCCTGAGAGGATGGTGGGTAGGGCCAGCTCTAACTCTCCTCTTCTCCCCCGCCGAGCGCCGCGCCGCCGAACCCTCCTCTCTTCCCCCCCCGCCGAGCGCCGCGCCGCCCAACCCACGTGGCGCCGTCGAAACAAAAACAACCCACCCCACCCCCAGCACCACCCGACCAAACCAAAAAAAATAAATCCTGAGCGCCACTCCAAGATTGGCCGCCCCTTACCAGGTGCCGCCCCAAGCATGTGCCTGGTTGCTGGTGCCTGGAGCCAGCCTGAGTGGGGGGCTGATAATCCGGACTCCTGGGTTCCGTTCCCTCTGTGTTCTGTTCCCCCAGACTCTCTGGGATGGGAGTGGGTCACAGTGCGACTCCCCTTCTCTGTGGGGTGTGTGCTCGGTAGGATGTGGGGGAGGGTCCGGCAGGTGTGAAGTGGATGCAGTGTTTGCAATTGCGCAAACCTGCTGTAAAACCACAGCCAATTCCGCCTGCTTCAATGTCACGTCCCTTTTGTCTGTGAGGCCTGGACCCATCAGGGAATGGAGGGGGGCTGATTTTGGGGTGGCTGAGAGTGAGGGGGATGGACTGGGAAGGGGGGACAGACTGGGAGATTGGGTCTGAAAAGGGAAGAATGGGGGAGGCCAGCTCAGCTTCTCCCACCCTCCTAGAACCATCTCAGTCCCTGTCTTTCCCCTTTACCCCCCAGCCCCACCCACCTGCCCCATAATTCTGCACCCACTGTGCCCCATATCTGCTCCTCCTACAGCTCTGCA